GGGCCGCCCGCCCGCGTCGGGCGCGCCGCGCGTGCAGGGCATCGTTAACCCGGCCTTCGAGGACGGCGCCGAGCCCGAGAGCCGGGAGTTCGCGGCGCCCTTCCGGAGGTCGGTGCTGCTCTCGGTGGACGAGTGTGAGGAGGTGGGCTCCGACGACGGCGACGGCCCCGCCGCGGCCTCGCCCTCGCCCCCTGACGGCTGGGCCCGCGCCTCCGGGCACCACGCCCGGACGGGCGGCCCCCGAGCCCCGGAGGAGCCGGGGGGCGCAGCCGCACAGGCCGCGCGCGGCAGTCACGGCGGCAGCGTGCGTGGGAGTGGCAGCGTGACCCCGGGGCCGGGCCGCGCAGACCCTGCCAGCAGAGAGAAACAGTGCGGAGCAACGGGCCGGGAGAGCGGGCCACAGGGCCCGTGCCCGGGAGGCCGGCAGCCGTTCCCAGCCGGGGCAGACGCCGGTCGGCGTGAGCCGGCCACCTGTCGGCACAGCACGCCCCTGGACGGTGACGCAAAGTCTCAAGAAAGACCGTGTCATTTGGAGCTTCACCAGCGAGAACCCAGCTCCCACCCACCAAAGATCACCTCAACCAAACCTCTGGACTCCTGTCCGAGCCAGGACGGCCCAGCGCAAGGGAGCCATGCCACAGCCCCCGAGACCGCTAATAATGCCGTGCTTGCAGGTAATGTACAGAGATAGACGCGCTAGACCCGTAGGAAATAAGTTCGTAGACCTTTAAAGCCGTCCGTGGCCCTGGATGTTCCATTTCAACTACACTATTTGAGCTACAGTTTCAACTTCCAAATAAGATTTCAAATTTATTAATAATATGAAATTGAGCTAGCTAGTCATTCTTTTGTTCGCTTATAAACTTAGCATATAATTAGTGTGCAGTAGAAAGCCTGGTTTATTAGACACAGATGACAAGCTGGATCCTACCTGAAAAAGGGACTCAGCTTGGTGTCATTTCAGTTATTATGTCTGACTGAACAGAAGCGCTCTTGACTCTGGGAAGTTTTCTTCTACACCGGATATGGTTATGGACTAAGGGCTGTGCAGTAACTATAGTCATACGCACTGAAAAGCACTAAACTATTTTAACTAGATTAATTATTCCAATTTATATGCACTTTACAGAGACTTTCTTAGGATCAATATAATTCTATTCTAAAATTTTCAAGTGAAGAGATGAGTTTCCTAAGAGATTATATTTAGAAGCAATGATAATATATGAAAAAGCCCAGGCTTGTTTCACATGCGAAGACAATTTCTTGTCTTGATTGCTTGGTGTTTATGTCTTTCTTATTTCAATAATTCAGACTAATGACTTAAAATATGCAATCGTAGCTGCTTGAGTAACTATTGTAAATCATAACTAAGAGAAAACTTGACCACAAATTCCTATTCAGTAAAATTATAAGAACGGGAGACCCCCCAAGGTTGTGTTTTTGTTGGTTTGTCCTGGCTGGCACCTCCTTTGCATGTGCAATGTAGAGCTAAGTCTTTAGATACAGTGCATTCCTTCTCCACCCGTGAAACCGGCTTGTTTTTAGGACACTTTCAAATAACTGTCATTTTCTTTCTTGAGTTTCTATTGTAGTGAATTGATTTGTGTGTACTTTTATGTTTGTTTAAATAATTTGTTATTTTCTGTATTCTAAGTTTTCAAATTAAAATATGGAAAATTATTGTTAGTTCCCTATGTTGGTTTTGCTAACCATTACCCTTAAATTTTTAACGCAAAAAAATAAATGCCTCAAAATTTTTTTCAAGTTTTTAAAAATTTTTTTTTTTTTTTTTTTTTTTTTTTTTTTTTTTTTTTGTTACCTTGTGTTAATATTCTACAAAACTCCGAGGGGTCTCGACGTGCAGATTTTACATTGTGTAGTGTTGTGAACTATTTCAGGAGACATAGATGATTGTGGTACTCGGGCACAAGCCTGCATGTGTGACCGCCGGCCTTCAAAAACCCTCTCTCCAATCTATGAGATGGATGTAGCAGCTGCCTTAGCGCGGAGCGTGCGCGCGGAAGGGCGTGTCTCAGACAGCGGCTCCGAGGACTCCGAGGACTCCAAGGACTCCGAAGACGGGCAGCGCTTTGCACGGCAGGACTGGATGCTGCTGAAGCAGCTGCTGTCTGAGCAGGACTCGAACTTGAACGTCACCAGTTCTCTCCCGGAGGACCTGAGCTTAGCGCAGTACTTAATCCACCAGACGCTGCTCTTGGCTCGAGACAGCTCCAAACCTCAGGGCCCGGCCGACGCGTGGAACAGGTGGAGCGAGCTGTCGTCACCGCTTGACTCCTCGGCCGCCACCACGGCCAGCGCATCCTCTGCGGACTGTTCACCTCAAGGGGAGTGGACCATCCTGGAGCTGGAAACTCAGCACTGACGGCCCTGGAGAGGCTGAGCAGCCTGCTGAGGTCGAAGCCACCGCTTGGTCAGCCAGGCAGGCTGTCCTGAACACGGTTGGCTGCTCTTCCGTTCAGTGAGGCGGATATAGCTCGTTTATTAACATGGTGTCTCGTAACAGCGGTTTTCTCCATTTTTCAGCATGTTTTCTTAACCATTAGAGACGTTAGAAGACCTGTAGGAAATCTTTGCTGCGGTTTTCTTTCCTAGCCAATAATTTGTTCATCCACTCGAGAATTCCCATGTCACTGACTCCCCCGTGTGAGCGTGCATTACACACAATCAGCGCTGCATCTGGGGAGACAGAGGGACCTAGCTTTCCCCGTGTTTCAGGGCCAGGGCACTGCGGAGGGCCTGCACGGGCCCAGCTGCTGACGAGCTGGGGGAAGCAGGACCTGCGGGGGGGGGGGGGGGGGCAGTCCTTATGTCATGCGCTGCTGCTCCGAGCCAATAGGAAGTGAGAACCCTAGTGAGAGCCTGAGACAGGCCAGTCCTGACGTGGGTGTGGGCGCCCTGAATCCGTTCACGTCCTCTGTCTGTCACACTTCTTCAGCCTGTGGTTTTGTAGACAGACACAGAGCGCTCGCAGGGAGTAGACACTCAGATCTTAGATGCTGCTGAGTTGAGCGTGGCCCTTTAAGGTAACGGATTTCAAACACTGACTTCTCTCCTTGTCTTATCCCTAACTTATGTTTCTCTAGAATATGTCAGAAGTAAGGGAATCTTTTAGGAGGAAGTCTTTTCCAAATATTAGCAGAATTATCAAAAAAAATATCATCAACAATAGAATGTATAAATATATTGAACATAACAACTAGGTTAATGCAGAATTATTTGTTGTAAAACAATTACGTTTAAATACTAATCTGTTACGCCATAAAACTTTTTCATGCCTTTAAAAAAAGTTTTAAATTTTTCACATTGATTTATTTTTTGTGTGTTTATGTGGATATCGTGTGTTTATGTGGGTGTGTATCACACACACTCAGAGGTCAGAGGTCAGCTTGTGAGAGTCAGGTCTTTCCTTCTACCATGTGAGACTCTCAGGCTTGGTGGCTGAGCCGCCCCTCCAGTCCTGGTTCTGTGCCTTTGCAAAGCTAGATGTCCTTGCAGGCGTACTCATCTATGTAAGACACAGTTGGCAGTGTAGGGAAGGAGAATGTAAAAACACTGAACTATGAACACACACACTCTCTTTAATATTTTAAAGCCGGGTAGGTGTTTAAAGAGTAGATGATCTCTTTAAGTGGCAAAGGGAGATTTTATGAGCAGAAGAGGCAAAAGGCCCTACAGCTAACTGTGGGGCAGCAGCCGCTATTTCCTAATTACAACTTCTCTTGTTTCTACCACACAAAACATTCGTTTTCTCATGAAGCTATGAACAAACCTTTACAAGTAGGTTGTGGTATGAAAATGTCTTATGTGGTAACAATTAAAGCACACCTTCATTCCCAAGACATTTGTGGGCTTTTTCTTTTTCCTGAATGTGAAGTTGTTTTACATGTTCCTTTTAATAAACTTGCCCCAAAGCTTAGAAGTTTCTAACTGAAATTAAGGTTTCTTTACCGTGCTCAGATCTTAAAACTTTCACCTTAAATTACTAACGCTAACACAGACGCCATTACACATCCCTTGTGCAGACAGGACCTGGGAAGGCGGTTCACCTTCATGGGGACCTTGGGGAAGTCGAGCACTTACTGCGTTTTCATAGCTCTGTTGAGAAAGTGCATTTACCAGAGCTTGCTGCAGACCTTCATCGCAGAGTGAAGCCCCACCCAGATGGAGACACGCCTGTAACTACTGGCACTGTCTGCCGTCCGTCCGTGTGTTAGAGACGGTGTCAAATGCTGTAAACATGCATCAGCACAGCGACACGGCGCCGGGGCTGTGAAGTGTGCCTTCTTTAATTTAAACATAGAACACGTACTTTCTTTGTTTGCTTTTACATGCATCTGTTGTGAGAGAGAGTGTCCTCATGGCAGTGCAGAGGGCAGAGGAAAGCTGGCAGGAGTCAGATCTCTCCCACCATGCGAGGTCTGGGGATTGACCCAGTTGTCAGGCACGGTGACAAGCTCCTTCATCTGCAGAGTCATCTTGCTGGCCCCAGATGCTGTTAAATTGTTCATACCTATGCTGAATGCATGCATGCACACACACATACATACAATTTTATACATGTACGAGTGTATCTGGTTTTCCTTTTTCTGGATTATCTGGTACTGGAAGAAACCAAAGAAAAATAAGCTAGGATCATATGGTGAAGTCACAGTTGCCTGTGTGCAGAGCAAGAGACCACAAAGAGCTCGGCAGGAAGCCAGATCTCAGTGTTGGAGCCGCTGAGCTGAGTCTGTGCCCCAGGCTGGGGACTTAAGCTGCACATAACAGGCGTGCCATTGGCACCTAAGTTCTTACAAACCATTAGGAATATAAACTTGCTAAAGATGTTTTTACTCATAGTTTACAAAACATTGTAAACATCTAATGAAGAACGTTCTGTATTTTCTTGATTTTTATTGTGACTTGGGTTGTGCAGAACGAGGACGTGTCTGAAGACTGACCGTTCCTTGGCCCGTCTTAGCAGCCGGCTGACCCTCGATGCTGCTTTGAAGGATGGGCTGGGATCCTCGGTGATGAGGCGATCCTGGCACAGCGGTGCTTTGAGGCTGCGTGTCCGGGGAGAGACTGGTAGACAGGAAGGGAGAGCGGGGCTGCACGCTGATGTCTCCTGGACACTGTGACCTACAATTTCTAAGCTCCCCTTCCACATACATCTGTTTGGGCTGCCCCTGGGGCAGTTAGCTCCCTGAGACTCACAGTGGGTAGCTCATCCAAAATCTTTATTGGTAAACCCTGTACGTAACGTGCAATTTCACCCACGACTCTGGCTGTGGTGCAGCCCACGCTGAGGCGTGAGCACCGTGAGGGTTAGCACAGTCTGACACCTTCATGCACGTGTGTAATGCACTGGGGTCCTGTTACCCTTTCCACGACATTGCTGCCGACCCCCTCCTCACCAGCCTTCCCCTCAGTTCTCCCGTGTTTACATGTCTGCACGCACGGACACGTGTGTTCATGACCAGCCTGTGCCTTGGCAGTGGTATGTGACATTGTGAGTTGGGTGACGAAGGAGAGACACTGCTGAGTGTTTACAATGGTGGCGCTCAGGAGCGACGGGACGGTAGATTTGAGTTATCTAGGACATGGACCTGAGCGAACTAGTAACTAGATATGAAGTGAGAAGTCAGCCTCGAAGATTTATGTCTCCGACTGAGTTAATGTCTTCAACCAAACTTTGAAATGAGACTAGGAGAGAAGGTGAGTTTCACCGAGGGCATATCGTGTTGAGATGCCGAAGGGACATTCAGAGAGCTGGGGACAAAAGTACCCATGAGATGAGCGTTGAGCGGTCAGGAAAAGGAAGCCCCGGGGAGCCTGCCAGGGGAGGCTGGGAAATGGCGGAAAGCCATCCTAAAGGACAATGTAACTAGAGGGCCTCTGTCCCAGCACGGCCCTGTCAGCTCCTGCAGTCCACAGCCCGCAGGGTTTGGCTATTTTCTCTTGTAAAGGCCACGTTGGCAAGACAATGTTCAGGTCCTCACATCATTTTAGGAGTGTGGCTTACTTTCCCAGGTAATGAGCAGGGGAATCTACTCTGAAAGTGTTCATGAGTTCACATCCAACCTGCTCCCCCCTGTTGGGATCTGACATTGAGAGCAAAGACTTTGAAAGCCTTTGTGGTAGTGTGCCTTTAATGCAAAACTTAAAAGAGGCAGGGGGCCACAGTGCAGAGCCAGCCTGAGCTACATAGCAAGGCCCCGTCTCTAAGCAAAGTGAGATCATCTCAAACAAAGGCTTACCATAGAGCTAGTCAGGGAGTGAGTGACTAGCTGCATAGGTCTGAAGAGACAGCTCAGCGGAGAAAGGAACTTGCTGCCGAGCCAGGGGACCTGGTTCAGTTCCCAGTACCTGCGTGGTGGAAGGAAATCCGGCGAGTCACAGCCTGACAGGCATACGGTAAACACAGATCACTGTTTTTAAGAAAAGTCCTACATGTATTGTGTGTGTACATGCGTATGTCTGTATCTAATGCAATGATCAAAGTTGCTTACAAAAGTGTCTTTAATGGCAAGAAAAGCTGGCCATAGAGGAACACGTTTGTGCATAGAATGTCCCGCTGTCTTTGTGTGCCCACACGTGAAAAATATTTAAGAGCGATTATGAAATGTTAGCTGTGCCGCACAGTCCGGACTATGGTAACTGTGCCGTGCTTACACTGAATAAGCAAAGTCTGTGCCCTCTTACCAGCATTCTCCATTTTCTGCCGCCCCTGGCACCCACCATCCCACTCTGCCTCCTAAGTCCCACACTTTCAGACTGTGTTAAATGGGACCATGAAATGGTCGTCTCCCTCTACCCGATTTGTTCCACTTAGAGATAACACGTTAATACCACAGATCACGGGACTTCCTTTTCTTTTCTTTCTTTTTTAATTGAGGCAGGGTTTTTCTATTTTAGCCCTGGCGGCCCTGGAACTCACTCTGTAGACCAGGCTGGCCTCGAACTCAGAGATCCACCCGCCTCTGCCTCCCAAGTGCTGAGATTAAAGACATGCACCACCACCCACCGCCCAGCTGACTCTTTTCAAAGACTTTAATGCTTCGTTGTCCTTCTCCATTTGCAGATGTTGCATGGCCTTTTGGGGGTAGACATAACTAACGCATGTTCCCCCAGCTAGGACACATAGCAAAGACACAGTTTTACCCAAGGCTGCTTTCCTGGATCGGTGGCTGCTGGGGTTGTGGCAATGGATAGGACCACATCAGAGAAAGGCCCATCTCTGCGTGTGAGGACTCACGGACGCTGCCCCCTGGGGGTCCCTGCACAAGGTAGGCAGTGACCAGGCTGGAGACTGTCCGCTCCCCAGAAACTGTGCTTATGTGGGGAGCAGCCTTGCAAATCCCCTAACAGCTTCGTGAGCCTGGGAGGCTGGGCTTCTCTCCTCGCTGCAGGGAGGTCAATGGGAGGAGGTGCCCACAGCTCCGTCCTGAATTGTCACCCTTTTTCCCAAAGTCGCCTGGGCCTGGGGTGCGGATGCTGTAGACGGTGGATTACTTTCCAGATGGAGGTAAGCGCACCGCCATCACAGTATGTGGGGTTAGTCACCCGCGCCCTGCGGGACACCCTAGCCACCAAAGGATGCTCCGTCTTCAGCGTACCATCCACGGTGGCAGGAGCTTTGTGTGTCACCAGCCAAAGCAGCGCTGACCCTGGGGCCTTGTGCTCAAGGACCTTGTGGCTCCTAGAGTGCCCTTCACTTGCCGAGGGCCTTTGTCAGCCTCACCTGATAGCTACTTCCCTTACTGCTGTTCTTATTAAGCCTTCTAAC